TTCTCTCCCACCCAGCCAGTCCTCAATCCACTCCACTGTCCACTCGTCCAGTCCACACTTCCAGAACTTCCCTATGAGGTGTCGAATGCCTTGCTGAAGTCAAGGTAGACAACATCCACAGCTCTCTCATTGTCCATCCAGCCGGTCACCTCATTGTAGAAGGCTATCAGATTCGTCAGACATGACTTCCCCTTGGTGAATCCATGCTGCCTACTCCTGATGACCTTCTTTTCCTTGACATACCTAGAGATGGTCTCTAGGATGAGCTGCTCCATCACTTTCCAGGGACCGAGGCGAGGCTGATCAGCCTGTAGTTTCCCAGCTCCTCTCTCTTGCCCTTTTTGAAGACTGGAGTGACATTGGTTTCTTCCAGTCCTCTGGCACCTCCCCTGCCCTCCATGACCTCTCGAAGATGATGGAGAGCAGCTGAGCAATAACCCCTGCCAGTTCCCTCAGCACTCTTGGGTGCATCCCATCTGGACCCATAGATTTATGGGTGTCCAGTTTGACTAAATAATCCCTAACCCAATCCTCCTTGGCCAGTGGAAAGTCCTCCTCTCTCCTGGTTCTCTCTCTTGTCTCTGGGATCAGTAGTTAGACTAGTGTTAGCAGTAAAGACTGAGGCAAAGAAGGCATTTAGTAGCTCTGCCTTCTCTGCATCCTCCATCACCAAGGCACCCTCCGTATTCAGCAGCTGACTAACATTTTCCCTAGTCTTCCTCTTGCTGCTGATGTATTTATAGAAGCCCTTCCTTTTGCCCCTGACATCTCTCACTAAGTCTAATTCCAAACGGGCCTTGGCCTTCCTCATTGCATCCCTGCATTCTCTGACAATGTTCCTATATTCTTCCCATGTGCCCTGGCCCTTCTTCCACATTATGTACGTGTTCTTTTTCTCATTAAGTTTACCCAATAGCTCCTTGCTCATCCATGCAGGTCTCCTGCTCCCCTTGCTTGACTTCTTTCTTATAGGAATGCTTGAGCTTGGAGAAAGTGGTGTTTGAATATTAGCCAGCTCTCCTGGACCCCCTTTCCTTCTAGGACCCTTGCCCAGGGGATTCTTCCGAGGACCTCCCTGAAGAGGTCAAAGTCATATTTCTTAAAGTCCAGGGCTGCAATCCTACTTCTTGCCCAGCTTCCTCCTCGCAGGATCTTAAGTTCCAACATCTCATGGTCACTGCAGCCAATACTGCCCCCAACCTTCACATTTCCCACTAGACCATCTCTGTTCGTTAGTATCATATCTACCAGCGCACCCTCCCCTTGCTGGCTCACCAACCACCTGCATCAAGAAGTTATCTGCAATATTTTGTAGGAACCTCCTGGACTGTCTGTTTCTAGCTGTGTGATTATCCTAGCAGACATCAGGGTGGTTGAAGTCCCCCATAAGGACCAGGCCTTGGGATCATGAGGCTTCTTGCAGCTGCCTATGGAAGGCCTCATCCACTTCCTCTTCCTGGTCAGGAGGCCTGTGGTAAACTCCCACGACGATGTCGCCCTTGTTCGCTATCCTTCAGTCCTCACCCACAGGCTCTCGACCTGCGCTTCGTCCTTCCCTGTACTCCATACATTCCAGTTGCTCTCTCACATAAAGAGGAACTCCACCACCTCGCCTTCCTGGTCTGTCCTTCCTGGAAAGCCTAAAGCCATCCATGGCCACACTCCAGTCATGAGAGCTGTCCCACCATGTCTCAGTAACTGCGTTGAGATCATGACCCTTCAATCGCACTTGTTTCTCCAGTTCCCCTTGTTTATTCCCCCTGCTGTGTACATTCACCGGCATTGCTCATCTGCATTTCTCATCTGCTTTGCTCACCTGCGTCTCAGTGGCATTGTTCCCCAGTATCACTCACCAGCTTTGTACAGAGGCATTGCTCACTGGCATCATGTAGAGGCATCGTACATCAGCACTGTGCAACTGCACCGCTCACTGGCACTGCACACCAGCATTGGCACTGTGAGTGATTGGCGTCCCTTGCTGGCATTGCTGACCAGCATCGTGCATTGGCTTCTCTCATTGGCACCACAATCCGACACCACTCACCAGCACCAAATGCCAGCACTGGCCCCATGCACTGGCACCACGTACTGCAGCCACCCCATGTGGGCCTCAGTCCAGGGGCTGCCTTTTTTCCCAGGGACTCAAGGCAGCTACAAAGGAGGAAGGACTGCAGAGGGCTGACCAGGGTTCCTGCTGCACTCACGGTCATGCAGAAGAGTGGGTGACTCCCCAAGAGGCTGGACAGATCCTGTGAGCAATCCCAGTCTCCAGGCCCTGCTTGTTCTGGGGCATGTGTTTCTCTCTGCTGGCTCTGGATCCATATGTCACCTCCTGCTCCATGTGTACAGGGCATCTCCTGTCGTGAGGAGCAGCCCACAGCTGGTAATCAGGAGCTAAGTGAATGCAAATCATGATGGCTAGAGCTGCTGCAACTCTGAGGTTGGCAAGGAAGCCAAAATGCTTTTAGGAGATTTGAGTTCAGAACTTTGATCTTAGATAATGGTGCCACCTCCCCATTTTTAATGAGCACTGTTCTTCTCTAGAATGTGGAGACCAGTAAAGCCCTCAAACCAATTTCCTTCTGTGTTGTCCCATTTAGTTGAACTGGGCAGGGCAAGGCCTATGTGGGGAGCCCAAGGCTCTCTAGCAGGACAGAAGAGGCACCGGAGTGGCGAAGAAGGAGCCAGGGGCAAATTGTAGGAGCTGTCCCGTTCAGCACCAACCGCTTCTTCAGAGCAGCGTGACCATTAAAGGAGCTCTGGACATCCTTGACTTCACCATCCTGTTTTCCAGTGTCCATGGCTGCTAATGAGAACATGGAGCAAGGCAGGGAGAGGCAGAGGGTGCTCTGGAGTGACACTATGGAGTGAGGGGAGTGGTGATGTTGGGGCCGAGCACCCAGTCTGTGCATGATGGGGCCACCTTTAGTCCTGTGAGCAGCTCTCAGTATTTCCCTCATCCTCCACTCTCATTGTCCATCCGTGGGAGCTGTGCCCTGCAATTGCTCCTGTACTGAGTGCTGTTTTGTCTCCTGCATCTGCCCCACACTGCACAGACCTGCCTCTGACCAGCTCTGCTGCTCCTATGGTGGCTGGGCATGGTGGCATTTCCAGGACATTGCCTAGTGGCAAAGGCTGAACAGCATGGAA